GGCCCCTGGCCACGGGAAGCAGTTTCCTGGGAACTCTGGAGTGGGTCTGGACCCCAAAAACAAGGACCCTTTTTTGAGCCACAAACACCCCCAGCTTTAGTTTCCTGGGGCCCAATGTGTAGGGGGGGATTTCTCCTTAGACTGCTTTATTTGGGGAGGGGGCACTGGACATTGAGGAAATTCCTTTTTGGGGTTCTTTAAGTCCCTGGTCACGAACTTGTTTGTGTCCCTGGTTCCTGAAGATATCCCAGATTCCTTCGGTGGGTGGGGGGCCCTGGGGTCCCCCAGTGTCACAGCCACCCATCTCGCAGCAGGCCCACTGCACAGAGCCCAGACAGAGCACCCCAGACCCCGCTATTTGGAGAGCTTTCTCTGCATTCACAACATGCTGAATATTAAACAGAAACAAAACCCCTCTGCTACCCTCAGTTCTGACAAGAATTCAGATTTTCTAAAATTCAGACTTTGATCCCAGGACGCCCCAGGGCACCTCGGCGATCCCCAAGTTTCTGCTGTTAAGTGTCCATTGAGGACTTGGTATTGTCCTTCCCAGGGGCCCCCAAAGGCCTCGGTGCTTGCTTGCTGGGTCGGGGGAGGCAGCTGGTTCCACTCGGGACCAGGCGAAGGACAGGGCACTTCCTGATCCAGACACATGGCACAGATCTCGGACCTCGACCCTGAGCCCGGCTCCCAGGACTGGACCGGGAACTGGAAATCCTTCCTGGGCAGCACAGCCGGGCTGTGAGCTCCACGAAGTGGCTCCCGGCCCCAGGTCCGAACATTTTTTGAACATTTTTTCCCGGGGCCTTTCATCGGAAAGCTGCCCCCCCCCACCCCGTTCTCCAAAAGAAATTGTGATTTGTGTGTGTGTGCGTTTCACAAAACAACGGGTGCCTTGGTTTATGCTTCTCTGAGTTTAGGGCCCTTTCCACGGGTACCCCAAAGGGAAATATCCAGAGACTCCAAACTCCATGGTCCTAACCCTAAGTGCTAGAGGCCTGTGCGGCACGCTCTCCCTGACGCCTAACCAGAGTCCTGACAGTCAGATTTTTATCTCTGCTGCCGAGGTTTTATGGGTCCCCAAATCTCTCACTCTGCTTCACTAGGGTTCCCCAGATGTAGACAGAGCCTAGGGAAGGAAAAGACAGAATTTGTTTTGTTTATCAAAATTAAATTAATTGGATAGATTAAACGTAAAAACATAAAAAGGTTTTGCTTTCCTGAACTTCCCAAATGTACCCAGTCTGCTGTAGTCTGACTCTTCACATATACAGTCAAAAAAAAAAATTTTTTTTTGGAGACTTTAAAGGACGCTGAAGGTTTTTCCCAAAGACACGACAATTATAGAGGTGACTTTCTTTGCGTGAAGCCGACCCCCAGCCCCTGCCCGAACAGGGAGAATTCGTCCTCCCCTCGCTGGAAACAGTCAAACAGTCGGCGTGGGTCCCGGGCAGTGCCTGGGGCTCTGTCTGGGTGTCTTCTAAGTCCCTGAATTTCACGTTGGGAATTTTTCTCATCACCCCCCAGCAAACCTTTCCTCCCCCTAAACTGGTCGGGGTTTCCCCGCGCGGCTGCGAACCCAGCAGCGGGGCGCCCACATTTCCAACCCTGGTTCCAGTCCCCGGCTCTGCTGGAGCCAGCCTGCCCTGCTCCCCCGAAGGCGGGTCCCTCTCCTGGCCGCTGCCCCTGTGTCCACCGAGTCAGTGCCCTGAAGGTCAGCTTCGACCCTGACCTGTCTTTGCGGGGGCAGGTATTGTCGCTCACTCCCCCCCTTCCTGCGCCCGCCTCGGAGCCCGGTTCCGGTCTCTGTGTCGCCTACAAAGAGTGCTTTGCACCTGGGGCCAGGACACTTCGCTTTGTCCCCCGACGCGTCAGCCCCGCAGCGCCAGCCGGACCGGGCAGTGCAGCTCCCGCCTCGGTGAGAAAGACCGAGCGTTGCCCCCGGCTCCCCCAAATTTGGGCACCGTCCCCGGGCCTTCCAAAGGACTGGGCGTTGCCCCCCGACTCTGGGGACTGCCCCGGGGTCTCGCTCACCTTCGGCCGCGTCCGCCGCCCGCCTCCGAGCGCCCGCTCTCCGCCTCGGCTGTGCGCGCCCAGGACGCGCCTGCGGCTCCACCGAGCTCGGCCTCTCTCCGGCGAGGGCCCGCGGGCTCCCCGCACGCGCCGCCGTCCAGCCGGGGCTGGCGCTCGCCGGGGCCGGGGCAGCCGCGCGCGGCGCGGGCCGGGGGACGCTGCGCGGCGGCGCTGGCCGGGGCCGCGATCACCCGCGCGCTGTCCCCTCGCCGCTCGCCGAGACCACAATGGTGGGAGGGCGCCGGGCGCCGGGTCCGGCGACGCCGCGGAGGGGCGCAGCGTGCTCGGGCGGCGCCTGAGCCGGGGCCGCGGCCTGGGGAGGCAGCGAGCGAGCGCGGCGAGTGATTGACGGCGAGCGCGGGGCCCCTTCCCCTCCGGGCGCGCCGACCTCCCGGGGCCGCGGGGCGGGCAGGGGGCGCGCGTGCGCGCGCGGGCGCCGGTGCGTGGCTCGGACTTGGTGGCGAGGCCCGGCCAGCCCTGGCCTGGCGGCTCACCCCGACCCTCGGACCACCGGGGGGGGGGGGCCGGGGCCGAGCCCGAGTCTGCGCCAGCCGCGCGCGGCGGGGACGGGGGACACATCGCGCGGGCCTTCGGGGTGGGCGCACGGCGGCCCGCGGCGCGGGGCCGGGGGCCGGCGCGGGGGGCGCTCGGGCTGCCCCGCGCAGGTGGACGCTGGACTCTGCCCGCGCGCCGGGGCGCCCCCTCCCCAGCCGGGGCTCGCGCACCCCGCGCCCGGCCGCCTCGGAGCGCCCCTGCGGGACCCCGGACCCCACCCGCGCGGCGTCGGGGGGGCGCGGGGTCTCGCCCGGCGGCACCCCGACCCCGGGGGGGTGCCCCCCTGGCACTTGGGAACGGCGATTCAGCACTTCCCCGGCACTCGGCCGCTCCCCGCCCCCCACCGATCGCGCCCCCCGCGCCCCCCCACCGCCGCCCCCCGGGGCCCCGGGGGCCCCGGGCCCGCGCCCCCCCCCCCCCGGCTCGAGTTGCCGGGGCGGGCCGGGGGCGGGGCGAGGACCCCGCGGGCGCCCATTGGCGCGGGCGCGCGGCCAGCGGGGCCCGAGCGGGCGCCGGGCCGCGGGGCGGCGCGGCTATAAGAAGCGGGCGTTGGCGCCCGCACTCCGCCTGCTCTCCGGCGGAGCTGCGTGAGGCCAGGCGGCGCCCGGCCCCCCCTTCCGGCCGCCCCCGCCCCTGGCGCACGCCCGCCCGCGCCTCCACCCGGGCTGGCGGCCCCGTCGACGCCGTCCTCTGCTGCTGACTCCCGTCTGGGCGCCGTCGGCGCGGGCCGCGCTCCGCCGGGCCTGCGGACCCCCCGCCGCCTCCTCCTCCAGCTACCTCGCCCCGGCCCCGCTTCGCCGGAGGAGGCGGTTCCCCCCGCAGGCAGTCCGGCTCGCAGGCCGCCGGCGTTGTCACCTCCCGCGCTCCCCGCCCAGCCCTCCCCGGCGCGCCGCCCGGGCCGCAACCTCCCCGCGGCGCGTCCGCGGCCCGCAGCGGCCCCCGCCCGCCGTCCCCCCGAGGCCCGGGCTCGCGACGGCCGAGGGCTCCGTCGGCCCTCACCGAGCTGGGCGCCCGCGGCCCGGGTGCAGACTCCGCTCCGCCCCCCTCCGCCCTCCCCCGGCCCCCGACGTGGCGCACTGCCCTCGCTTCTCTGGCTCCCGCCCGCTCTCTGCCTCTGGCCCCGGCCCCTCTTCTCCCGCAGCCTGCCCTCCGCTCCCTCCCGTCCCCCCCGGGCCCGCGCCTCCACGCCCTCCCCGCCACGCCCGCCCTCGCCCTCGCCGCCGCCCACGTGGGCACCACACACTTTCTGTTTCTCTGCGCCGTCCTCTCCCGCTGTGAGCCTGCCCGCCTCTCGCTGTCCTCTCTCCCTCTCGCCCGCTCTTCGGCCCCCCCCGTTTCTCGTTCCGCCTGTCTCTCCGACTATCTCTGCCCCCGTCTGTCCTTGGAACAACGGCTGACCTCAGTTCCCGACGCCCGCTCCCCCCCAAAGTGCCGCATCTGGCCCGCCCCGGCCCGAGACGCCCGCCCCCCCAGCGATCAGAAGAGCGTCCCTCCCCCCGAAAAGCCACCCCCCGTTCGGCCCCGTCGCACATTCGGCCCCCGCGACCCGGCCCGAGCGGCGCTGGCAGAGGAGTGCCGGCAGGAGGGCCCACGCCCGCTGTCCGGTTTGCGAACATAGACGCAGCAGGGAGGCGGGCGGCGGCGGCGCGGCTTCCAGGTAAGGCGCGCGGGCCGGGCGCGGGGCGCGAGTTGCGCGCGGGGCGAGGCGCGCGCGGGGCGAGGCGCGCGCGGGGCGAGTTGGCGCGCGGGGCGAGGCTGGGCGCCGCTCGGGCCCGGGCGCAGGACGGTGCTGGGCAAAGTCTGCGAGGCGCAGCGGGCCGGGGGCGGGGCGGGGGGCGCGCGCGGCTCCCCCGGGAGCCCACCCCGGCGGGTCCGGTCGGTGCCAGCGGGCTGCGCGGGGAGAGGCGGGGGCGGGGCCGGCGGGCCGAAGAGCCGTTCCAGGCGCCACATTTGCAAGCGCGCCCCCAGCCCCCCCCCCCTTTTTCCTGTCCTCCACGTCTCCGACGCGGAATCTGGGGAGAGGGCTGTCCCGGGGCCGGGGCGGACGGGGGCGTACCGCTCGGCGCGGCCCCGCAGTGCGCCAGTGGAAGTTTCCATACAAGGAGGTGACGGGCAGCCCCCTCCGCGCCCCCCCGCGCCGAGATGGGCTGGGGGTGCAGGATGCGCCCCCCGCCCCCTCCCGGGGCTTCGCGTTGGGATGGCCCGGGCCGGGGGGCGGGGGTGCAGGAGCGAAGGTACTGGTTGGAAGGGCGGGGGCGGGGCGGGGGCGGGGCGGGGCGGGCGGGGGCGGGGCGGGGGCGGGGCCGGGGCTGGGCGGAGCCGGCTCGCACATAAAAGCCGGGGCACTGGCCAGTCTGCGACTGGACATTAGCTTCTCAGCAAGCGGCCTCCAGCCTCCTCCTCCTCCTCCTGCAGCCTAGCCTCCCTCCTGTCCAGCGCCAGGTAACCGCGGCCGTCGAGCGGCCCCGGGCCCGCCGCTCCGGCCCGCCCGCAGCCCTCCTCCCTCCGGCGCCCCGGCCCGCGGGGTCGGCTTCGCCCACCGGAGGACGGAGCTGCGGGGGGACCGCGGGGTCCTCGCCGGCTGCGAGGGGAGGCCACTTGCCGGAGCCTGGGCACTGCCCGCCGAGGCCAGGTCCCTCCCGTGCGCCTCCCCCTGCTGCTGCCCACGAGTGGCCCCCGCCAGCCCGGGCCCCGCTGCCCACGAGTGGCCCCCGCCAGCCCGGGCCCCGCAGCCCCCGGCCTGCAGGGGCGACACCTGGCTGGGGGCCTCTGCCGGCGGGGGTCCCCGGCCCCCGTCCGTGCGGCGTGCGGTGGGCGCGCGGCGGGGCGCGATGCCTTGGGGCGGGCGGGGGGCTCACTCGCGCCTCTGCTCCCCGGGTCCCGGCCGCGGGGTCCTGGCTGCCGCCGGGGTCCGGCTGCGACCCGGGAGGGGAGGCCGCCTGCAGCCGGGCCCCGGGTGGGGGGGCCGCCCGAGGGCCCGACGCCCCCCGCTCCCCGCGCGCTCAGCTGGGCCGGGGGCGGGAGGAAGGGGCCGGCCCTCGGGACCCACGTGCCCCCCGGGGTGGGGCCTTCTGCCATCTTGGCGCGGCCCCGCCCGCCCGTGACGTCGCGGGGCGGGGGCTCGCGCCCCGCCCCTCCCCGCGTGCCCGCCCGGCGCGGGCTCACGCCCCTCTCCCCCGGCAGATTCCGATGGGGGTCCCGATGGGGAAGTCGATGCTGGCGTTGCTCACCTTCTTGGCCATGGCCTCGTGCTGCTTTGCTGCTTACCGCCCCAGTGAGACCCTGTGTGGCGGGGAGCTGGTGGACACCCTGCAGTTCGTCTGCGGGGACCGCGGCTTCTACTTCAGTAAGTACCGGGCGCCCGGCGCTGCCCCCGCCTGTCCCCCGCCCGGCTGGGCCCCTCTCTCGCTGTCCGCCTCCGCCTCCGCCCTCCCCCCGCAGCCTGCGGCCCGGGGCGCCCCCGCCGCTCTCTGCAGCTCTCCGCTCGCCCCCCGCCCGCGGGCCCTCCTGCCTCTGCCCACCTGGGCCGGGCGCTGCCCGTGCAGTGGGGGAGAGGGAGAGGACGGGGGGCACGGAGAGCGGGGTTTCTCCAGTCCTCACTCCTCTCCTCCCGTCTTCTCTCTGCCTCCAACTCCCACCTGTCGCCCCTCGGCCCGCCCAGGCCCCGGGAGCGGGGGGGGGGGGGCCACGCTGGGGTCCCAGCCTGCGGCGGGCCGGGGGCGCCTCCTCTCCGCCGCCCGGCGCGCTCACCTGGCGGGCGGGGCCTGCCGCCGGGGGCGGGGCCTGCCGCCGGGCGGGCCCGGGCTCACGGGCGCGGGTGCCCCTTGCAGGCAGGCCCGCGAGCCGCGTGAGCCGCCGCAGCCGTGGCATCGTGGAGGAGTGCTGCTTCCGCAGCTGCGACCTGGCTCTTCTGGAAACATACTGCGCCACCCCCGCCAAGTCCGAGAGGGACGTGTCGACCCCTCCGACCGTGCTTCCGGTAAGACCCCCCGTCCTGCAGGGGGATCGTGCCCTGGGGGGGTCCCCCAGGGACCCGGCGACCCCTTGGACCGTGTTTCCGGTAAGCCCCGCCCACCCCTGCAGGGCCCGGGTCGGGGGGTGGCCCGGCGCGCGCTGACCGGCCCTCCCCCCCCAGGACAACTTCCCCAGATACCCCGTGGGCCAATTTTTCCAGTACGACAGCTGGAAGCAGTCCGCTCAGCGTCTGCGCAGAGGCCTGCCTGCCCTCCTGCGCGCCCGCCGAGGCCGTCTGCTTGCCAAGGAGCTGGAAGCGTTCAGGGAGGCACAACGCCATCGTGCCGTGACCACCTTCCCCACGCAGGACCCCCGCCGCCCACGGGGCCGCCTCGCCCGAGGCGCCCGACCACCAGCAATGAGCCAAATTGTCGTCGTGATTCTGCGCGCCTCCACCGTCGTCCTCTCGGCGCTCCTCCTGCCGGGGACCCGACCACCAGGTCCCCCTCCGAAACCTCCCTGCCCCCGGCCTGCCCAGGGCCCCCCCTGACCCGCCCCTGGGCCCCGACCTCCCCATGTCCGGCTCCTGTCAGCCCCGGCCCGCAAGGGCCGCAATCGGCGGTAACATCTCCAAATTCCAGCAGAACCGATTGATCGATCTCCATCGGTAGATCGGCTGCGATCATCATCCCCCACCCCACCCCCCGTCGCGCCCCAAAACTCAGAGCGCGAGCCCCACTTTGCGCGGTCCCCTGGAAACCCACCGGCGCCTTGAAAACACCAGCAAGGCCAGTCGTCCCCCCCCCACCAAAAAAACAAAAAAAACCAAAAAAAAAAAACCAAAAAAACCTCAATTGGCTAAAACCAAAAACATGAATTGGCTAAAACCAAAAAAAAATGAATTGGCTAAAACCAAAAAAAAATGAATTGGCTAAACCAAAAAAAAATCAATTGGCTAAAACCAAAAAAAATGAATTGGCTAAACCAAAAGAAATTAATTGGCTAAACCAAAAAACAATCAATTGGCTAAACCAAAAAAAAAAATCAATTGGCTAAAACAAAAAACATAAATTCGCTAAACCAAAAAAAAATCAATTGGCTAAAACAAAAAACATCAATTGGCTAAACCAAAAAACAAATCAATTGGCTAATAAACCAAAAACAAATCAATTGGCTAATAAACCAAAAAAAAATCAATTGGCTAAACCAAAAAAGAATCAATTGGCTAAAACAAAAAAAAAAAAAACCCCATGAATTGGCTAAAACAAAACAAAACAAAAAAAACCCATGAATTGACTAAAAAAAAACATAAATTGGCTAAAACAAACAAAAAAAAAACATGAATTGGCTATAAAACAAAAAACTTGAATTGGCTAAAAAGAAAAAAACACCCCAATTGGCAAAATAAGCAATTCGGCCCCCCCCTTCTTCTCTCTCCCTCCCCACTGGAGTCAATTGGCTTAGACTCCCCCCCAACCCCGAGAGAAGAAGGACCCCAAACTCAGCCACGTCCTCGCTGCTGTCAGCCGCCTCGCTCCCGGCCAGCTCGCCCGTCCTGGGAAAGCGCCAGGGTCACCACCACCGACCCCGGGAGGGAGCCACCCTGAGCCAGAGACTCGCCCGCATCAGGTCTGATTGGCAGGTCGCACCCCTGCGGCCCGCTCCAACCCACACCCCACATTCTGTCCTCGGCCCCACTTGAAAACACAGCACACGCACCCCCCCACACACGCACACACTCACACAGCACACACTCACCCACATACCCGCAGCCCCACACCCCACGCACTCACACACACGCACACACACTCAGACCCGCCAGCCCCTCAGGGAAGCGGGGCCCGCCCCACCCCAAATTTCTCTCTAACACAGCGAGTTGAGGCCTCAGGTCCCAGCTCCCTCCTGCCCCGGGATGCGCCCTCAGGGGAAGGAGGGGGCCCAGCCCAGGCCAGTTCCAGCTTTCCGAGAGAGGGACCCCCTCGGAGCCTGCTGTGCCCCCACCGACCCTGGCACCGCCCACCGTGCCCCGAGGGCAGAGACGGCCGTCAGCAGCGAGGACTCAGGAGCCCGACCCCCTACTGTGCGCCTCCCTGAAAGATCTGGGGGAACCCCCTCCCCCGGAGGGCACCTAGGGACCACCTTTGCCAGCCCCCAGGGCCTCTGCCCCCCACAGAGGCCCCCGGGGGCTGGCAAAGGTGGTGGGGAGTGTGGGAAGTCTGGCGGTTGGAGGGGTGGGTGGGGGGCAGCGGGGGCCGGGCGGGGGACCCCTGAGCAGCCCGAGGGCCAGCGAGGTTTCGGACCAAAGGAGAGCGGCGCCAGAGCCGCAGGGTTACCATCGCGATCAGGAGCCCAAATTTAAGTCAATTTGATCTATCTCCCCTCTTTCGATTCTCCTGGGGCTTGTTTTCCTTTTTTTTTTTTGATCCCCCCTAAGCTTGTTACGCGCTCAGACCCCAAATTGAAAGCCCGCCCCGTAACAGGGGGCAGCGACCAAGGGCCCGCGCAGTCACCACCATGGCCACCACTGTCCTGCCCTCGCCATTTACTCGCCCTGATTCGACTCGCTCTGTCCCTGTCGCTTGGTGTGTGTCGAGAGTGGAGGCCCCGCAGGTGTGGCCACAGCGCCCGCGGGGCAGCGGGGAAGAGGGGGCCGCGGCTGGCCTGGCCTCCGTGCACGGTGGCTGGTGCCCGGAGGTCCTGAGGGGCGGAGGAGGGGGGTGGGCGGCGTCCCCCGTGTTGTCGGAAGGTGCTCGGAGGCCACCAGGATGGGCCCCCGGCTGGCTCCGGCCGGCCGGGGGGGAAGGGACGAAGTGTGAGCTGAGTGGTCCCACCCGGCGGGAGCAGGTGGTCGCCTTCCACACACGGGGGCCCGTCCCCCCCTTCAGGGAAACCTTGCCCGCTTCCTCAGTGCCCCAGCTTGTCTCCTGGAAGCCCTGGCTCGGTGGGCTTCCTGGACCCAGGTGGGGTGAGGCCGTGCTGTCGGGGAGGTCAGAGTTGGAGCCCACAGAGCCGAGAGCTGCGTGCCCACCGTGGGCCGCCGGACCCCGACGCCCTCGGGCTGGGTGCCGACCAGCCGCCTCTTGGCACCTCGGGCGCTGGCAGGGAACCGGGCGGCTGGGGGTTTACCTCACCCCCACCTGTGCTCCCAGTGCAGCCCCCCTGCCACGCAGCCCGACTGGTCTAGCAGCCCGAGGCCCGGGGACCCCGGCGCCGTGGCTGGCAGGACCCTGGGGGCGGTCCATGCCGGCCCGCCCGAAGCACAGAGACCCGGCAGGCACCCGGATGGACCATTCGGACCATTGGCGAAGCCCAAAGACCCAAAGTGCCCATTGGAGAACCCAGATTGGCCGTGACCCAAAGCGACTCGGAGGCACCCCAAATTGCCCATCCGGCCGGACGCCCTCCCTCAGTGTTAGCC